GCGGCGCGAAGCGCCGTTCGAGGGTACTAATTCCCCCCGGCTATTTACACCCGGGGAAACGAAAGCATTAGCGAAGTCTAAAGTTCATCAATGAGCGCGGGCGTCGGTCACCAACGATGGGTGGTCATCCTCACTGATCTCAAAAATATGGCGGACTGTCATGAATAACGGACACTGATTGGTCCAATTTAAAGTTTGCATTATAACGGCTGCATGACGACAGCGAAATAGCAAACATTTGACATTTCTTGATTTGATGAGTTGATGATTGATAAATTTCTTGCAAATATTCTTCATTTTTGCTCGTATTTCTGCAAGATTTTGTAAATTTCAAGAAAGAAAGGGCGAAAGAATCAGCTAAAAGAAGGGAGCCGACGTTAACGAAGGTAAGTTTGTTTTAAATATTGATTTTATAATGGCTTTAAAACCCGACGGCCTTTGCGTATATGAAACAACTAAACAAGACAGCATATAATTTCAGTGTATCTTTAATATTGATTCCCTTTTTTATTATATTGAATTTTTAAATAAAAAATAAAGCAAAGTTATTTGCAAGCGAGAATTTGAAATCATTTTATTGCAAACTCAAAGTTTATCGATAAAGCCATTTAATAGTTAAAGGCAGTTTAGTTTTATAAAGAACACTTTAAAACGTTTTGTGAATTGTTTGTGGTTGAATTTTACCTTAAATTGAAGCTTGTATTACGTATAATTACATACCTAACATAAATATGTTGGGAAATTGATAATTTTGTAATTAAAAGTGATATTTTTAGGCGATTTTCATTTGTAAGAATATTCTTAAAAAATTATCGTGTTACCATGACAACTACTTTAGATACTTCATGTTCGGAAAATACAACGGTTTTGTCAGCAAGGCGAGGGTTTCTGCATGCATGTATTTTCTAGTTATCTTATTAAACTTCTAACATTGCTGTAATGTAGACGTTTAAACATTGATCGTCAAGCTAAATAAAATTTAAGAAATTTTACTATTGCTATAAATACCGTGTTTACGTCTTGAAGTTTTTTTAGATATGGCATTGGAACAACATTTGCAACTCCCCCCGGAAAGTTTATACTATCTATCTCTTGCTTGAATTTCGCCACTCATCACAATAGTGCAACGTTTCCATGGAAGCATTGCACTAAAAACGGCCATTTTGTTCTAATTAGATTGTTTACGGCTGTTTTCTTATATAAATGATTGACTGTAGAAGAAATTCCCGACTGTACGTTCGTCGCCTATTTTAGTTTATTCTATAAAAATATAGCGTATAAAAGTCAAGGGCAAGACTTGTGTCATGCAAAATGGGTCTGAAACAAAAACTAGACTAATCGCACAGTCATTGTGATAATCATAATACAATGATACAAATATGTGTCAGCGCAATAGTGCGTTTATGATTTACATTTTGATAACGTAGCACGCACAAAATATATTACTTAGACTTTAGCATTGCATGGCGGTTTCAAAATGTATAAATTGTAAGAGTTTGGATGTAATTCAACAATGGGACATGGCCATTGCCAAATTTGCGTAGGCAGATTTTATTTATAGAATGTGTTGAAAATGTTGTATTATTACTAGCTGTAACTGTTTGCTTACAAGGGTTAACAGTACATAAAAGCAACATACTGGATGGGGTTACTTATCGACTCTTACTTTCTTTACAAACTTTCAAAAAAAGTGAATCGACAACTTTCATTGTATTTTAGGTGTTACATGTAAATGTGTCAATCATCATCGTTAATTATTGCAAAATGCAAAGTTGGCGGAAGGCGATATTGACACCATTTTCATCCGACCTACGTTTCGCCCTTTCCGTCGACCCGCGAATTTTAGAGCGGGCACAACGTGGGACTGTTTTCAGGCTAGGGATGGGTCAGCAGGGTGCATGATACTCACGTGAATTCAACCGGAAGTGAATTTTGGAACTGAAAAGGAAAAACAGTGGGGACTCAATCTTTGCAAAGCGATTTACAGTAATATTATACGTTAAAGTTTACCATGAAAAATAACTGTTATGTTAGAAATACACGGCTAACCACGGGCTAACCTGGACAAAAGAATCTTGCCACAGAAGTACGACATTTCGATTTATTTTCGAACAGTATATTGACGCTTAGAGCTTAGTTTGTTATTTATTTATTAATTATGTAGCGATGTTTATTATGCCGTATGTGATAACTTTATACCAGGACTGTCTGTGCATGTTTACCTTCATACTTCTATTATTGTACTTTATTTACTTATTTAGATCGAATTACATTGGTATATCGGTTATTTTATATTTCCATTAATACGATTTGCGGGACTTCTTTATATTAATTAAGTATTCTGCTAACTGGTCGCCTCAGTTTTGACGAACCATTCGATATCCTGTGAATATCGGGATAGTGCAAGATTTCAAGCCCCTGTTTGGAAACACCGCGGCAAAACGTCTGCGCATGCGTCAACTTTACCTGTAATAGTATTGCGAACTTGATGAGAAGCTGTTCCGAACGTTTCCGAAGGCTCAAAATGGCGGTAAAAAGGAGTGACTTCATTGTGCGTCTTTACAGCCAGATTTCAAGCGCAAAAATAAACATGTCATTCTAAAAACTAGAAATAAATACAGCCAGAAGGTTCACGAAATTGTATTGTACAAGAACATGAACTAAAGGTGATTGTTGACAAATTTATCGTCTGAAACATTTTGTTTATCAACTAAGCAATGACAATTTCTGAATTTTCGTTTGAGATACATTTCTTTAAAAAAAACTGTGTCGCCAAATATAAAAAATTTTCGTGTTCACAATAATTAAAGTTCAGGATTTATTCTACAATTTGAGTGGGTTAAGAAGCTTAACTTTTCGAGAGTTTTCTTAACCTTTTAGTTTGAATTTTTGTTTTGAATAATTTTGCAAAAATTTTCAAAGTCGTGTCCGTTAAAATCAACATTTTTTTACATGAATTATATTTCATTCCATACTTTAAATGCCAGGACGCTTTCAATTAATATCTAGTCTACCCATTTGCTATATTTTCTCGTTTGTTTTACTAATTTTTGACCAATTAATAAGCATGTTTTTGTTTTAGAAATTGATATTCAAATTCCCCGCCATATTTTCATAATTTGGTGCATGCGCAGACGTTTTTCCGCGGTGTTCTGTTTGGATATCTATAATTCAGCTTCTTGCAATCTTTCCATGCAAGCATTTAAAAGCGCAAACTATCCTTAAATTCTTTTGTATATTGTTTCCGGTTCTGCAGCAAGCAAAGCATCAGTCGTCTTTATTCTCTTCCTTATTCAAAGCTCTGGTAAGAAAGTCGGCTCCCGGCATTTTGACAGCTCCTAGAAGAGGTTTCTTGACTGCAGACCTTTCTTTCTCCTGCTGATTTTCTTTCACATTCTTCGTTGCTTCTTCTTTCAATAATTGTTCATCTGGAATGTTTGTTCGTGTTCCTGAACGTTGCAGTGCTGCTGGATCTTGTCGCGCTGAAACATACAAGCACTTTTAAGAACTGAGGTAAACCAATGTAAAAGCACAGGGGGTGGGAGATTAATAAAATCATCTTTTGTAGCTGTAAGCTGAATTGTGAAGGACGCAGCATGTACAAACGTGGCCGACTTAAAGGCTTATTAAGGCTGGTTCACATTACTAAAGTTTCTACCATCACAGAAGGAATGTTGCATAGTTGTACTTTAAGTTTTGAAGGATTTGTAAGATGTGTTTGAGGGAACTGACTCACTGTTTAACACTGAGTCAATCGCTTCAAATCCTTCAAAACGTAGAATTTACCTATCCAAAATTCTTACTATGACCTCTAAAAATTTGATAGTGTAAACAATGCAGCCTTTAGGGCACCTCTGGCCCCGTCACCATACGAACTATCTCTGATTACGGAATAATGGTATATAGGAGGGACCCTAAGCACAATCCACAGTAGCAGCGGTAAAAGTACAGCGTCCTTCGTTAAATAACCCAAAATATTTTAAAAATATTTGTATTATAAAAGGCATTTTGATGAAAATATTATTAGTAGAAAAATGTTCAATATTCTTTCATCAAGTTGATTTTTTAGGATAACAACTTTTGGTAGCTGAACAAGTCTTAACCTGTATAAATATAGATTAATAATAATAATAGTAGTAAAACTTTTTAAATTTAACTAAACCTTGTTTCCTTGTAGATTTGTATAGAAACATAATTTTGTTTTGTGTAAAACACCGTTAGGCCTGGTTTCCATATGGTCGTAGCTGTCGAAAAAATTAGCCATTTCCCAAAGTTCTTGGTCCCGTCGCGCGAATCCCATGTTGAAGGGACAAGAAATATGGCAGCACACATTTAAATTTAATGTTTAATGTAAAAAGATCGCCTAAAAAGTTGATATTTGATAGTCCTAGATACTTCTACTTTTTCACATATTTGACGCACTCATGACTTGAGCTCTGAAGAATTGGCCGAATCTTTATTAAGTTTTGTGGAAAATGATGATTCTAGTCATTGTGAATTGAATGTAGAAAGCTCCTTAAATGCTGTAAACAGTTTGTACAGCTTTTTCTGTTATAAGAAGAATAACCTTAAATGGGCTGGTTCGTTGGAAGATCTGAAAGCCGTCGTGCTTACTGTAGTGGACGAACAAACAGCTGAAACTACAACCTGGCGATCGCTAGCGGTGGTACGTGGAAATTAGACAGTAACGCACTGTGTGTTACCTGGCAAACAAAGAGTCAGAATATTTATTTTGAGGGCGAAAACGGCAAGGAAGTGACCAAAAGGATAATTTCGCACTTAAACCAAGGCGTGCACGCCTCGTTGAAGGCTTATTCTCTCGAAGGTAAAGCTATACCGAAACAGAACCGAGAGTGACTGAACTTATATCGGACAGTTGTTGCCAAAATTACAAGCAATTGAACGAAGACTGCAGGGAAATTACTATAGAGAATGGAGATGTCGTGAATGAAAACGCTGATATCTCTTCTGTTGAATACCGTGGGAAAACCGATGTAACTATGGCATCCACTCGCTGCATAAACACAAGTTCACAGGTAATCGTTAATAAATCCTCTGGTGCCCTCCATAACGAGGTAAGCGAAATTAAATTTAATTGGATCAACACGTTCACGAAACAAGAACGGAATTCCAACAAATTAAAGAGAACTTCGATTATCAACTTGATCAGCTAAGGAAATCATATAGCTTGCCCGGAAAAAAAGATGCAAAGTGTTGTCGGACTAGTTCAGACGAAAACGCTAGACTAAGACAAGAAAATGCTCAGCTTAAGGAGGAAAATTACTCCCTCGATTACTCCTGTACTATATCGGACTTAAAAACCAAAATAGAAAATATTGAAAACGAAAAACTGAGTTTGATCACGGCTATAAAGCTGCTACAAGATGACAATAATTCTAGATCAGCGAATAATAAACAGTCAACATGTAGTACTTGGCAGGTTCACTCTAAACAAAGTTCACGCAAAATTCCTGCTACTCACGTACAAAACAAACCGTTTACCCCCACTGTGATAAATAATCAACCACGGGAAGTAACAACGTCAGAAAATAGATTCGAACTATTATCGCATACTATAGATAACGACGAAAAATTCAACACCGTTGAAAGTTCAAATGAGTCTAACACTCCGTCGGTAATAAAGCAAAATTGCCCAAGGGAGGATCTTAGTAAACGTAGCAATCAACAAAGGGGTAATCAATCAACCAAACCCAACAAGGATAAAGCAAAGTTTAAGGATAGAAATCGCCCAGATAATAACACAGGTGAAAAGTCTGGTAAACTCGCATTTATTGCAGGGGACTCTATTCTGCAACATGTGCATGGCTGGGAATTGTCCAGCGACGAACAACGTGTGTCAGTAAAAGCCTTCTCAGGAAGTAGAGTAGAAGACATGCAGGACTATATAAAACCCCTGATACGCAAAAAGCCTGACACAATGATATTGCACGTTGGTACTAATGACATTAAAGACGACACCAAGTCAGCAGAGGTAGTTGCAGCGGGAATATTAAATCTAGGTAATCAAATTAAGGATAATTTACCACGCACTACAGTATGCATATCAAGCATAACTGTCAGGAAAGACAAAGCCACCATTCAAAACAAGATAAAAGCTGTAAATGATATTCTTGGGCGTGTTTGCAGCTTAAATAATTGGACTTATATAGACAATAGTAATATAGACTATACTTGCTTGAATAGACGTGGGCTACACCTAAACAAAAAGGGTAGCAGTATTATTAGTAAAAATTATAATAACTATTTCAATCATATTAATTGAAACACAGCCCGGCCAGGTGTTGATAAATGGGCATCATCAAACCCAAACGTTCCAAACTTTAAAGGTTTCAAAATGAGTATGCTAAATATAGCCAGTTTACCTAAGCATATTAATGAAATAAGAATATTACTGGCCGATCAATGTCTCGATATACTTGCTTTGAATGAGACAAGATTGGATGAAAATATTAGTAACCAGGATATGCATATAGATAACTATGATTTAATTATGTTTGATCGTTCTAGACGAGGGGGAGGCGTCTGTATATATGCTAAAAATTCTCTTAATTTTTCCGAACGAAAAGACTTGACTAGAGATAATCTTGAGGCTGTTTTTATCGAAATTCATAAACCTTCTAGTGCATCCTTTATTGTTGGAACTATATACAGACCTCCAAGTGCTTCGGTTGACTCATTTGTCGCAATTGAAAAATTGGTGCAATTAATAGATGACGAGAATAAGGAATTCTATTTACTTGGCGATTTAAATGCCAACATGCTTGACATTTCGAATAATGCCACAAAAGAACTAGTTTCAATAATGGAACAATATCAATTAACTCAAACAATTAGTGCACCCACTCGTGAGACCACGACTTCATCCTCTTTGTTAGATGTTTGTCTCACTTCTACTCCAGAAAAGTTAATTACATCTAGGGTAGTGCCGATTACAATTAGTGACCATTATATGATCGTCATTGTTCGTAAAATAAATACTTACTGTAAACAAAAACGCCACAAGAAAGTTGAATTTCGAAACTTAAAAAATTTTAATGTCGATAATTTCCAAGCCGACCTGTATAGTCAGGATTGGGAATTATTAGATAACCAAGCATGCGTTGATAAGATGTGGGATATATGGAAAACACTCTTTATGACAGTGCTCGACAAACATGCTCCAAATAAAGAGAAAAGAGTGAAAGATAAACCCAGTGTCCCTTGGCTAACCACTACAATTAAAAACAAATTAGAGAACGAGATCGTCTAAAACTTCTTGCAATAAAATACAAATCGGAAAATTACTGGGATGCTTATAAATCGTCTAGAAATCGCATAACAGATGCTTTGCGAGAAGCTAAAACAGCTTATTATAAAGTACAATTTGATAAAGTAAAACATGATCCAAAACAAGCTTGGAAAACTGTTAATAAAATCCTAAATCGAAAGCAAAAATGTCCAGATATAAACTCTGTCAAAACTCAGAATGGAGAGATAACCGATCCAAGTGAGTTAGCGGAAAGCTTCAATGATTATTTTACTAATATTGGCCCAGATATTGCAAAAACGATCGATAAAGGTGACAGAAATTTCACGGATTACATAACTAGAGTAACTAGCAATTTTAAGTTCCAAGCTGTATCTGAATCGAAAGTTCATAGACTTCTTTTGTCTCTAAATCCCGGTAAATCTCCTGGTATTGACAAAATTCCAACTAAAATTATTCGTATTGCTTCCCCAGTAATTGCAAATTCCTTGGCAAAAATTTTTAATAGGGCAATCACCAGTGAATCCGTTCCATCTGAATGGAAAGCAGCGAGAGTTACACCTTTACATAAAAAGGCCCTCGAAACCTGTTAAATAATTATCGCCTTATATCCATTCTTCCTGTCGTAAGTAAAGTTTTCGAAAAAGTATTATACGAACAGTTACACGATTATCTTGTTACAAATAACTTACTATCCCAACATCAATTTGGTTTTAGACGTAGTCACTCAACAGCATCCGCCCTTTTAGATAGCACAAATGAATGGTTTGTTAATATGGATCGTGGCTTTTTTAATATTGCAGTCTTTCTCGACTTGCAAAAGGCATTCGACACTATTAACCACGTTGTATTATTGAAAAAACTTGATTTTTATGGTTTAGAAACATCAGCTTTAAACCTCCTAAAATCGTATCTATAGAAAACAGAACTCAAATGTGCTCTGTTAATGGCACACTTTCTCGTAAAAAATTAATTACATGTGGAGTCCCTCAAGGCTCAATTCTTGGGCCGCTCCTATTTTTGGTTTATATAAATGATTTGCCAAACAGTTTGGAGTATTCGTCAACAAGAATGTTTGCCGATGATACGACATTAACTGCATCTGGTAAATCAGTTGCTGATGTAGAAATGGCCATTAATTATGATCTTGCTAACGTAAAGCGGTGGCTATCTGCAAACAAACTATCCCTAAATCTTGTTAAAACTGAATAGTTA